CATATCTAGCCATACACTCGCATTAACGCATATGGTAGCCATCCGAAGTGCTAACACAAACAGTCCAACATTAGAAATGTAGTTCATCATTGATGATAGCAGAACTTGTCGCCAACAGATCAGCAGTTGCCCGGGCGATCAATTTTAATACGGGTCCCGCCAGCATTGCACGACCGGCATCGCGCCATTTTCTGAATCTACAATTCACACCACGTTGGTCACAGTCGAAAAAACATTCCAAATGCAATCCGCAGCTCACAGGGTCACGCCATGCATTCAACTCAGAAGCTGGGCGACGAAACTATATCCAGTCTACAAATGGAGCAAAAATACTTCGGCCACCGTCCGGCAGAAGCAAAAAATTTGCCTCCGCTCCGAACAGCGCCGCTGTCTAGCGTCCATTTTAACCGGAAGTCTCAGACAATGGATGAACACAGGGCTTTTCTTTTTTTTTTTTCTGGCGATACGCAATAGTATGCAGTACTTGCACCATCTCTGAGGCATCAGTTTTTCAGTGCTAATGTAATAGGCACTGTGTGGACAGTAAGTAAGATAAGACGCTCGCCTGTGGATCCAGATGTCATGGATTCAAATCCAGATGTTGCTGGACTATTTTCAAAAACGACATTGTTTCCCAGGTCGACCCGGCCTTAAATGGGTACCAGGTAAGAGTCAAGGGAAGTAAAGGCAGCCGGCGGGGGGTTAATAACATAACCCACCAAGTGCTGATTGGTCAATAAAATATAGCACTGGCCCTATATGCCCAGTATGACTGAAGGCGCGAAAAGCGTCCTTTACTGAGTTCACTGTGCCAGCAAACATTCATAGGAGTAACTAATAGGGTACAACCTTTAAAGTCGGAGTGCATCTGCCTGTGAGCAAGGAACCAACAGTTTTCATACAAATAAGCCAGTTCTATGATGTGCACGCAACACTCAGATTCTGGAACAAGTCTGAAGTCCGGAGGTGGACGAACAACGAGAACTTTCTGCTAGAGTTTACAACAGGTGAATAAGAAGAATAGAAAAAAGGTAACATTATTGCAACATCCCTGTATGGGTTCCGGGGCCCTGCTATTGGGAAAAAGAATAGACCCACTGCCTACCCAAAAAGCATGTTGTAAAAGTCGACTAATTAGGAGCTTCCATTAAAGTCGGAGTGCATCTGCCTGAGAGGCAAGGAACCATCAGTCTGCATACAAATGATTCAGATCTGTAAAACGGATGCACACGCAACACTCAGGTTCTGGAACAGGACTAGAGTCGAGAAGTGGATACATAACCAGAACTCTCCGCCAAAGTTTATAGCTGGTGAACGCAAAGAAGAAGAAGAAGAAGAAGAAGAAGAAGAAGAAGAAGAAGAAGAAGAAGAAGAAGAAGAAGAAGAAGAAGAAGAAGAAGAAGAAGAAGAAGAAGAAGAAGAAGAAGAAGAAGAAGAAGAAGAAGAAGAAGAAGAAGAAGAAGAAGAAGAAGAAGAAGAAGAAGAAGAAGAAGAAGAAGAAGAAGAAGAAGAGAAGAAGAAGAAGAAGAAGAAGAAGAAGAAGAAGCAGCAGCAGCAGCAGCAGCAGCAGCAGCAGCAGCAGCAGCAGCAGCAGCAGCAGCAGCAGCAGCAGCAGCAGCAGCAGCAGCAGCAGCAGCAGCAGCAGCAGCAGCAGCAGCAGCAGCAGCAAGCAGTCAGCAGCAGCAGCAGCAGCAGCAGCAGCAGCAGCAGCAGCAGCAGCAGCAGCAGCAGCAGCAGCAGCAGCAGCAGCAGCAGCAGCAGCAGCAGCAGCAGCAGCAGCAGCAGCAGCAGCAGCAGCAGCAGCAGCAGCAGCAGCAGCAGCAGCAGCAGCAGCAGCAGCAGCAGCAGCAGCAGCAGCAGCAGCAGCAGCAGCAGCAGCAGCAGCAGCAGCAGCAGCAGCAGCAGCAGCAGCAGCAGCAGCAGCAGCAGCAGCAGCAGCAGCAGCAGCAGCAGCAGCAGCAGCAGCAGCAGCAGCAGCAGCAGCAGCAGCAGCAGCAGCAGCAGCAGCAGCAGCAGCAGCAGCAGCAGCAGCAGCAGCAGCAGCAGCAGCAGCAGCAGCAGCAGCAGCAGCAGCAGCAGCAGCAGCAGCAGCAGCAGCAGCAGCAGCAGCAGCAGCAGCAGCAGCAGCAGCAGCAGCAGCAGCAGCAGCAGCAGCAGCAGCCAGCAGCAGCAGCAGCAGCAGCAGCAGCAGCAGCAGCAGCAGCAGCAGCAGCAGCAGCAGCAGCAGCAGCAGCAGCAGCAGCAGCAGCAGCAGCAGCAGCAGCAGCAGCAGCAGCAGCAGCAGGCAGCAGCAGCAGCAGCAGCAGCAGCAGCAGCAGCAGCAGCAGCAGCAGCAGCAGCAGCAGCAGCAGCAGCAGCAGCAGCAGCAGCAGCAGCAGCAGCAGCAGCAGCAGCAGCAGCAGCAGCAGCAGCAGCAGCAGCAGCAGCAGCAGCAGCAGCAGCAGCAGCAGCAGCAGCAGCAGCAGCAGCAGCAGCAGCAGCAGCAGCAGCAGCAGCAGCAGCAGCAGCAGCAGCAGCAGCAGCAGCAGCAGCAGCAGCAGCAGCAGCAGCAGCAGCAGCAGCAGCAGCAGCAGCAGCAGCAGCAGCAGCAGCAGCAGCAGCAGCAGCAGCAGCAGCAGCAGCAGCAGCAGCAGCAGCAGCAGCAGCAGCAGCAGCAGCAGCAGCAGCAGCAGCAGCAGCAGCAGCAGCAGCAGCAGCAGCAGCAGCAGCAGCAGCAGCAGCAGCAGCAGCAGCAGCAGCAGCAGCAGCAGCAGCAGCAGCAGCAGCAGCAGCAGCAGCAGCAGCAGCAGCAGCAGCAGCAGCAGCAGCAGCAGCAGTCAGCAGCAGCAGCAGCAGCAGCAGCAGCAGCAGCAGCAGCAGCAGCAGCACAGCAGCAGCAGCAGCAGCAGCAGCAGCAGCAGCAGCAGCAGCAGCAGCAGCAGCAGCAGCAGCAGCAGCAGCAGCAGCAGCAGCAGCAGCAGCAGCAGCAGCAGCAGCAGCAGCAGCAGCAGCAGCAGCAGCAGCAGCAGCAGCAGCAGCAGCAGCAGCAGCAGCAGCAGCAGCAGCAGCAGCAGCAGCAGCAGCAGCAGCAGCAGCAGCAGCAGCAGCAGCAGCAGCAGCAGCAGCAGCAGCAGCAGCAGCAGCAGCAGCAGCAGCAGCAGCAGCAGCAGCAGCAGCAGCAGCAGCAGCAGCAGCAGCAGCAGCAGCAGCAGCAGCAGCAGCAGCAGCAGCAGCAGCAGCAGCAGCAGCAGCAGCAGCAGCAGCAGCAGCAGCAGCAGCAGCAGCAGCAGCAGCAGCAGCAGCAGCAGCAGCAGCAGCAGCAGCAGCAGCAGCAGCAGCAGCAGCAGCAGCAGCAGCAGCAGCAGCAGCAGCAGCAGCAGCAGCAGCAGCAGCAGCAGCAGCAGCAGCAGCAGCAGCAGCAGCAGCATCAGAAGAAGATTACCACATATTTATTATTTCCAGCCGTGAAGCCATTTTCCCTGAGACATTCGACCAGAACTCAACAGTGTCTGGAGCTTTGGGCCGAACCGCAGGGGAACAAGGAGGATATCAGTTTCTGGCAGCAGTTATCACACTAGGCATTGCAATAGGTGGTGGTGTGTTTACAGGTAAGGAATGTTTGCGTCTGTGTGAAGTATTGTTTAGTGTCTCCTCGACTCACGACCAAATTCTGCTCCAAATAACAGGTAGTAAGAAGAACTGGTCGTAAGTCCAATTTATATTTTTCGGCACCATTTTCATTTAAACTATTTGTACAAATTGTACACAAAACACAAACGTTTAATCTATGTACGCATAATTATTGATCATAATGCGAAAAAACACAATAAATACTCTGTTGTTTCAGTTCCAAGAATTTATTATTATCAGTGTAGTTTTCATTCTTTATTAACAATTTTTTTTTTTTTTGGGTTATAAGTGCAAATGGTCAAAAGTAGAGAAGATGTATGTGTTTTAACTTTTCAGTACTAGCATGGGGGCCGCGTTAGCGCAGTCGATAGGAGACTCGCTTTCAAATCCAGCTGTGACTCGCCCACGGCTGTGGTTTGAAACCTATTGGTTCACGGGGTTTACCCAGCCTCTAGGAAATGGGTACCAGAGTCAACACTCGGGTAAATGGAGGAACGTCACTGTAGCTACGGAGTTTTGTGCGGACGGCGACACAGGCGGACAGTTTCTGATCAGCTGTCTGTTAGTACCAACTATAATTATTTAACTCTTTATTTCTAGAGTTTTAATTTGAAGTACTTAACGTTAGAGTTCAAAAAGGTTAAAATTATAATTTTACAAGCAGAATGGATTGAATTACCAGTTCAGATTATGAGTTAATCTAACAAGAGTTTTTGTTTAAAGTACTCAATGTTAGAGTTTTAAAAGGTTAAAATTATAATGTTACAAGTAAAGGGATGAAATTACCAATTCAGATTATAAGTTATCCAACAACTACCAGGAATAAAAGAGGACTCCTACGACAACTTGTTCTCTTATGAGACTTCATTCCTTATTTGATCTTTTCTGATCACTACTGCAGCCAAACCTGGTCCCTAACAAGAGCACAGGATAAAAAGATCACGACGTGCGAAATGAGATCCTTACGTAAGGCTGCCAATGTCACAAGGAGAGACAGAGTTCGAAACGAGAACATTAGATCAATTGTAGGAACCACACCATGCCTGCAATACATAAAGAAGCAACAAATAGAGTGGTTTGGCCACTTGATGCGAATGCAAACCGACCAACTGCCTCTACAAGCATACAACGAACAGCACTACTGCCCTAGAGCAAGAGGCAGACCGAGAGTACAATGGATAGACAATATATCAGAGATCCTGAGGCAACACGGACTAACAAAAACACGTGCAACACACCTGGCCCAGGATAGAAAACTGCGACTCCCCACTACGCTGTGAGGCAATTGTGGACAAGACAAGACAAGACTGCAGTCTTTCTCAGACATACAGTTTCCATGGTTACTAATTAACGTTGTGCGGCTGATTGACTTTTCTGTATGTGTAGCATTCCACATTGCGATTGTACTTCTTATCTTTAGCCAGAGCATGCTAAACATAAAATCTTCTCAACCTATTTTTTTTACACAGTGTGAATAATTTAGCCCTTTAAAAGTTATACTGTTAAACACTTACAATGTTATTGTCAACATTATTTTCCCTTTCCATCATTTTTATTTTCTTGCACATTTTTTTTTAAAGTAAAAATTAAGTAAAGGACCCTTTCCACGCCTTCAGGCGTATTGGGCATATAGGGCTAGACCTATATTTATTACCTTGTAAAAAGATCAATCAGAAATGACTTTGGCTTCCAAGTTGACTCAGACTTGAGTGTTGAGTTGAGTTGAGTCAAGATTTGACATCACAGCACTCAGGGCATTTCCATGTGTGCTCCCTCCTCATCTTCAGCAGCCAGCACAGAGTTCCAATACTGATGGTACCGGTTACATTCTGGTTATATTTCCGTCTTGCCTTTCCTCTGAGTGTAGTGAGCTGGTCAGACACTCTGGTTACACCCAGACTAAAGTGGGTACTAGTTAAAAGTCCTAGAAAGTACAGGAGGCATGTATGATGTTGACAATACCACTTATCAAGCTCTATAAAAAATATAAGTCTCGCCTCATATGCCCTGAGTGCCATTGACGTGTAAAAGAACCTTTACTTTAATTTTCAATTCTCTTTAAAAACGAATATGTTTCCCATCACTCCAGGGTTAATTCTGAGACTTCCAATCTGGAACGCCCCATCGGAAGATCGTCTGTTTGATGATTCCAACAACTGGGAGATTCCTGGGGAACATGAGCATGATACTCATTCTACCAATCATGTTAAAGATACCACAATTCAAATGGATTCTGGCTTGTGATGTCATCTGTGATTGGTTGATTAGGATGTAAGTATTTTCTTTAAGAATATTTTTTTTAATGTTTTGGCGACACTTTAAACACCATGCAAATTGTTAATATGTTTAGTGATATCTATATAGTTTGTTTTTCAATATTTTCTTTTTGTATTTGGGAGCCACTATGGTTTAGTAGCTAGATACTTGCCTGTGGATTGGAAGGTTGTGGGCTCAAATCTGAACAGAGCCAAACTTTTTCAAAAATTACCTTGGCTCTCAGGTCAAACTATCGTAAATGGGTACCAGGTAATGTCCTGGAAAGTAAAGGTGGCTGGTGTTCTGTTGACCTAATCACAAACCCCATGTTCACACTATTCAGTTGCAACCAGTATCATGGCTTTTAAATAAGTGTACTGACCACTCCTCAAAAACTTGATCCCATCAGAAACCGATAGAAGTCATAAAACTGGCTTTTTTCTGGCTAACATTTGCAACTAAAAATAAAGTATATTAACTCTTTGAGTCCCAAGGAACGCATCATAGATTCCTACCTAGAAGCCCAATAAACGCATGATGCACCAATTGTATTACTTTACTACCCCCGGGCCTGTGATGCTAAACCCTCTTGGGACTCAAAGAGTTAACTGTAATTTTCTGTTTCAAATATCTGGTTTGGTGCAAACAAAGAATATTAACTGTGTAATTTTCTGTTTCAAGTATCTGGCTCAGTGCAAATAAAGTATATAATTGTGTAATTTTCTGTTTTAAGTATCTGGTTCAGTGCAAATAAAGTATATTAACTGTGTAATTTTCTGTTTCAAGTATCTGGTTCAGTGCAAATAAAGTATATAATTGTGTAATTTTCTGTTTTAAGTATCTGGTTCAGTGCAAATAAAGTATATTAACTGTGTAATTTTCTGTTTCAAGTATCTGGTTCAGTGCAAATAAAGTATATAACTGTGTAATTTTCTGTTTCAAGTATCTGGTTCAGTGCAAATAAAGTATATAACTGTGTAATTTTCTGTTTCAAGTATCTGGTTCAGTGCAAATAAAGTATATAACTGTGTAATTTTCTATTTCAAGTATCTGGTTCAGTGCAAATAAAGTATATAACTGTGTAATTTTCTGTTTCAAGTATCTGGTTCAGTGCAAATAAAGTATATAACTGTGTAATTTTCGATTTCAAGTATCTGGTTCAGTGCAAATAAAGTATATAACTGTGTAATTTTCTGTTTCAAGTATCTGGTTCAGTGCAAATAAAGTATATAACTGTGTAATTTTCTATTTCAAGTATCTGGTTCAGTGCAAATAAAGTATATAACTGTGTAATTTTCTGTTTCAAGTGTCTGGTTCAGTGCAAATAAAGTATATTAACTGTGTAATTTTCTATTTCAAGTATCTGGTTCAGTGCAAATAAAGTATATAACTGTAATTTTCTGTTTCAAGTATCTGGTTCAGTGCAAATAAAGTATATAACTGTGTAATTTTCTTTTTCAAGTATCTGGTTCAGTGCAAATAAAGTATATAACTGTAATTTTCTGTTTCAAGTATCTGGTTCAGTGCAAATAAAGTATATTAACTGTGTAATTTTCTGTTTCAAGTATCTGGCTCAGTGCAAAAAAAGTATATAATTGTGTAATTTTCTGTTTCAAGTATCTGGTTCAGTGCAAATAAAGTATATTAACTGTGTAATTTTCTGTTTCAAGTATCTGGTTCAGTGCAAATAAAGTATATAACTGTAATTTTCTGTTTCAAGTATCTGGTTCAGTGCAAATAAAGTATATAACTGTGTAATTTTCTGTTTCAAGTATCTGGTTCAGTGCAAATAAAGTATATAACTGTGTAATTTTCTATTTCAAGTATCTGGTTCAGTGCAAATAAAGTATATAACTGTGTAATTTTCTGTTTCAAGTATCTGGTTCAGTGCAAATAAAGTATATAACTGTGTAATTTTCTATTTCAAGTATCTGGTTCAGTGCAAATAAAGTATATAACTGTGTAATTTTCTGTTTCAAGTATCTGGTTCAGTGCAAATAAAGTATATAACTGTGTAATTTTCTATTTCAAGTATCTGGATCAGTGCAAATAAAGTATATAACTGTGTAATTTTCTGTTTCAAGTGTCTGGTTCAGTGCAAATAAAGTATATTAACTGTGTAATTTTCTATTTCAAGTATCTGGTTCAGTGCAAATAAAGTATATAACTGTAATTTTCTGTTTCAAGTATCTGGTTCAGTGCAAATAAAGTATATAACTGTGTAATTTTCTTTTTCAAGTATCTGGTTCAGTGCAAATAAAGTATATAACTGTAATTTTCTGTTTCAAGTATCTGGTTCAGTGCAAATAAAGTATATAACTGTAATTTTCTGTTTCAAGTATCTGGTTCAGTGCAAATAAAGTATATAACTGTAATTTTCTGTTTTAAGTATCTGGTTCAGGGCAAATAAAGAATATAATTGTGTAATTTTCTGTTTCAAGTATCTGGTTCAGTGCAAATAAAGTATATAACTGTAATTTTCTGTTTTAAGTATCTGGTTCAGGGCAAATAAAGTATATAACTGTGTAATTTTCTGTTTCAAGTGTCTGGTTCAGTGCAAATAAAGTATATTAACTGTGTAATTTTCTATTTCAAGTATCTGGTTCAGTGCAAATAAAGTATATAACTGTAATTTTCTGTTTCAAGTATCTGGTTCAGTGCAAATAAAGTATATAACTGTAATTTTCTGTTTCAAGTATCTGGTTCAGGGCAAATAAAGAATATAAGTGTGTAATTTTCTGTTTCAAGTATCTGGTTCAGTGCAAATAAAGTATATAACTGTAATTTTCTGTTTTAAGTATCTGGTTCAGGGCAAATAAAGTATATAACTGTGTAATTTTCTGTTTCAAGTGTCTGGTTCAGTGCAAATAAAGTATATAACTGTAATTTTCTGTTTCAAGTATCTGGTTCAGTGCAAATAAAGTATATAACTGTAATTTTCTGTTTCAAGTATCTGGTTCAGTGCAAATAAAGTATATAATTGTGTAATTTTCTGTTTCAAGTATCTGGTTCAGTGCAAATAAAGTATATAATTGTGTAATTTTTTCTGTTTCAAGTATCTGGTTCAGTGCAAATAAAGTATATAACTGTGTAATTTTCTATTTCAAGTATCTGGTTCAGGGCAAATAAAGTATATAATTGTGTAATTTTATGTTTCAGGTATCTGGCTCAGTGCAATCAATGTTGTGCCTGTCTGCTGCTTTGATAAACAACTTAATACATTAGATACACCAAGAAACAACTTCACTGAGACCTGATCTTAGCAAGGACCAGTTATATTATTCAGTTAACACTGTCCTTTGAGGGACATTTGATGCTGTCTGGAAATATTTTGTAAATATACTTATATAGTCTCTTCTCCTGCATTCATCATTAATAGGGTGGCTGGTATGTTGTGTTGTGGGTTAAGCTAAGATGCAATATCTGCACCATAGGGTCCAAAACATCCCTAATTCAACACCCTTGAGTAAGTAGACATTTTTTTTTTACAAAATGCTTGTCCAGAGGCAAAAGATTTTTAATGGTTTTTTTTTTTTTTAAATATTTTTCCCAAAATAAGGCTCCAAAACTCATATGGAGGTCATAACGAACCAACAACACTGTTTAGTTACTTTAACCCATGAAAACTCTGGTTTTCTGACTTTTACATGCTTTTTTTTGTTTTTTTTTTTTTTAATTATACATATCTTTGGGTACATTATAGAGAATATGTTGTACATATATTGTATATGCTAATATCTCTCACTTTCTAATTATCTGTACATAGAAATTTTAATGTCATGAGGGCTGTTTGCTTAATTGTCTTAAAGACATTTTATTAGGTAGATGGTCCTGTCTTTTGTCCATTTCAAACTGCACAGACAATTCGTTAAAAAAGTCTTGAAGAAGACATTTTTTTAAACATGAAAATCACTGTAAATACATTGTATATAGACTACTGCTATCAAAGCTTTGTTCTCATTGTTTTATCACTGTTCAAACATTTATGTCCTTGTTATACAGAATGTCTCTAAACAGATGAAAACAGAAGTTTCAGATATAATTGGTTTAATATTTAGCAGTTTCTCAAAAAAAAAAATCGGACGATTTAAAAAAAAAAAATTCATATATTTCATTAATGTCCGCATCTGTAACTAAGCAGTTATGAATGCTGTTTCTCAGGTCCGACATTTTCAATTCAACTGCAGGCGATTTAACAGGAGACAGCTTTGACAAATGTTATGCACTTGGACGCATATGAAGCAGTGGCAACCTCAGTCAGTCAGTCAGTAGCCTGTCCTTTGCAGAGCCTTGCTCACATAACAACCTTCCGGAAAACTTCTTGATCACAAGCAAAATGTACTGCGTCCAATACACCCATCTGAAGATCATCCGCCACATCCTGCACCCATCTTCTCTTCGAACAATTAATAAAATAATAAAACTGTTTTGTTGAGGCCTCAGAGCTGTGGTTTTACACAAGAATGCTTAAAATTCTAGACAGTCAAAGTGAGTAACCTTAGTGTTTGAAAAAAAGGTGAGGATGCAAAAACATTAGAAGACAAAGTCGTAATTTTTGTGTGTCACGTTATGAGAAGAAGAAACCTGGAACGTGTCGTGACTTATCAAAAGAATGATAGGTGAAGAAGCTCTAGAAGATTCTTGACGGTTTGGTTTGGAAGTTGTTATGGCATTGATGGGTGTCAGCAGATGAGTTAATAAACGCAGGAGATCGCAGGCTGTTGAAAGGCATAATCATAATCACACCACCTACCAAGGCATTTGACGACAATGATAATGATGATGATTTTAAGATCTTAATCTTTTTCCCCGGCTTTGACAATACTGCTAACTAAATAAGCCTACAATTTCATGTCTTGAAGTGAAGTTTCCCTAAGGAAAATCTAATTAACATTGGTCAAGCATTTCATATTTGAAAAGTCATGAAAATGACATTTTCCTAATGTATATATTTGTATTACTACTATGCTCCTTTCACTTATCCTAAC